TCACAGCTTCTGAGTTTCTAGTCTTTGCAATAAGTCAATAAAATGCCAACACATCATTACAATTTCTTTTAAAGCTCTGCTAACCATAATAGCAATCATATGACTTAACTTAGTTGAGATTATTTCAGACAAATCACTATACTAGCCTATCTGTCCTTTATTAGTTTTCCCTTGTGACAGCATTATGTTGGCTTTAAAAAAAAATGCCTATTATACTGATAATGCCAATTCAGCCTTCTTATCACAAAGGAAAGCTAGCAAAGTCAATTCTGCTCGAAGATCCTCCTGCACAGCTGTTACTGATGACAAATCCCAATATTACAACTGTCATTCTTTCTGAGAATCAGAGGTGTCATTGTTTTTTGCCTGTCAAAGCTGACTCTCAGATAGTTTACACACAGGAATTCTTTAAAAATTGTAATTAGTTATAAGTGTGGGCTAATTTGGTTATGTTATTGTTTAAAGGCTAAAGGCAAAATGAATTATATAAGTAAGAAAAGAAATATCTGAATCACTAGGGTTAGGTTTTAATCCTGTGTCCCCAAGGGGGGAAAAAGAAATGGAATATAATTATTTGTTATTGTATTCCAGTGCCTGCCTAGCACAGTGCCCTCCACATAGTTGGCACTTAATAAAATTCTTTTTAATCTAGACTGGAATGAACTTGACATGATTGTATACCAAAATATCTGGGGGACTCAACAACTATTACCTACTTCAATGTGTCAAGTATCTTATTTCATCCATGTGGCTAGGCATTCTTTCCCTAATATGCTTTAGCATATAGTCCTTGTGAATTGCTATGGCTGCCCAAATATCTAGTGATAAGTTTCTTCCAATACACTTTATCTCCACTAAGGTCCTCTGGAGACTGTCTCATGGTTGGATGGGACCTTGGAGAGCACTGAATAGAGGTACTCTTAGCTTTTCTGAGGTCTGGAAGAAGAATGCAAAGTCTGGTAGGTCCTACCAGGTAGAAAAAGCTTTATGTACAGAGTTAGTGATAGACTGTATACTTGTCATCCAAAGACTAGCTTAATTGAGCTCAAGGAGACTGAGCAAAAACTTGAAATAATAAATAAGTTCACCAAGGTGGCAGGATACAAGTTTAACCTACAGTTTTCTTTATTCTATTTTTTAATTTTATTTATACCACTGATAAAGATAAAAAAAAATTAGATTAAAATTATATTTGCAAAAATGAAAATATTACATATTTTCCATTAATTTACCTAGGCACACATGAACTTCATAACTTTTATGTAGAAATAATGCAAGAATAGCTAGTGTTCATGGGTACGTCAGATCACCATAGCAAAAATATCAATGCTTCCCAAATTAATTTGTAGAAAATGCAATTAAAATGTGAATAGGTTTATAGGACCAGATAAAACTCTAAAAACACTAATGTGAAAAAAAACAAATGGGCAAGAATATCAATGAGGCACTGTCATAAAAATGGATGAAAGTAGATGACTAGATTTTAGTACAGTAGTTACCATTGAAATAATTTGTTTCTGGGGGAAAAAAAAGACCAACAGAATAGAATAAAGAACCTCTTTCAAAGACTCAAGTATATTTTAAAATAAATCTGAGGAAAAATAAATACTGGGACAGGGATTAATTGTTTAATAAATGTTGGAAATTGCATAGCAATGTGGTAAAAACAAATTCAGATCTTCATCCTATACTATATCCCATAATAAATTTGGACTACATCAAAGAGATAAACATAAAAATGCTAAAAGAAAGTACTGTAGCAATAAATATTTATCCCACTTGGAAAAGGAAGATAAATTTTTCTCTGTTGAACAGACAGAAAAGAAATATTTTTAGGAAAAAGTAGGACTTGATTACATTGAAATAAAAAATTTGACAAAAACAACATAACTGTGATGAAAAATAAAAATATTTGCAACAATGTTATCAGATAAAACCTTATAACTAAAAAATTACAAAGAATGCCTATAACTATTCAATAGCAACATCATGTCTCTGATGATTAGTTAAATGGTTAAAGGATATGTATAGAAAATTTACAAGAAAATATATAATTTGCCAACAATTTTAAAAGCAAAGAATAATAAAAAAAATGGAAATAAAAAGAATTCTGAGCCATTATTTTGCCACAAAACTGATAAGAATGACAAAATTCAATTCTGGGAGCTTTTGGGAGAGAAATAGGTATGTTTATCCATTGCAAATTGGGAATCTTTTCAGAGAGCAATCTGGCAGAATACTTACAGGAACTATTGCACATCCTTTGACCCAATAATACCAACGCTACGAATATACCCTAGCAGTGTTATTGAAAAAGGGGAAAAAAGAACTATTTTTACAAAAGTATTTATAGCATTATAATTTGTAATGGTGAAAATCTGGAAACAACCTAAATATCCAGCAGTTGGGGGATAGCTAAACAAAACGTGTCATGTCAGTATAGTGGAATATATAATAAAACTTTAGAAGGACAGATATGAAGAACACAATTCTATTAAAGACATGAAAAAAGCAGTATGCAAAATGCAGCCACTGACTGAGTTTTTAGAAGGAAATATATGCATGACTATAGATATATGTAGAGAACAAAAATGATCAAAAGAGTAGAAAGAGAGAAAATGATAGAAACAGGTAGGTGGTATAAGGCAGTTGCTGGTGGAGTCAACAGAATGCCAAACCTGGAGTCAGGAAGACCTGAGTGCAAATTCAGCCTCTAACAGTGACCCAGAGCAAGTCACTTTAACTTCAGTTTCCTCATCTGTGAAATGGGGTTTTGTTGTTTTCCAGTTGTTTCAGTCATGTATAATTCTTTGTGACCCTATTTGGGGTTTTCTTGGCAAAAGAAACTGGAATGTTTTGCCATTTCCTTCTCAAGCTCATTTTACAAATGAGGAAACTGAGGCAAACAGGGTAAAATGACTTGCCCAGGGTCACAAAACTATAAGTGTCTGTTGCCAAATCTGAACTCAGGTCTGCCTGGTGCTCTATAAAGATCAATCAACAAACATTTATTAAATGTCTTCTATAAGGTAGGCACTGTGCTAAGCTCTGGATATGCAAAAAGAGGCAAAACACAGTTTTGCCCTCAAAGAACTCAACAATCTAACGGGAGAGACAACAAATAAAGAAATGTGTGTGTACAAACAAGTTACATATAGAATAAATAGGAAATGACTAACAGAGAGAAGGCATTAGAATTAAGAGGGGTTAGGGAAAAAAGCTTCCTGTAGAGGATAGGATTTTAATTGGGATTTAAAGGAATACAGGAAAACCAGTAGAGGAAATAAGGAGAACATTCCAGGCATGGGAGATAGAAAAAATCCCTAGAGCTCAGAGATGGAATGGCCAGGAGTCCAGAGTCACTGGAATGAAGACAGCATCAGGGAATAAGGTATAAGAACAGAACTAGAGATGTAGGAGGGGGCTAGGTCATGAAGGTTTTTGAACACCAAGCAGATGATTTTGTGTTTAATCCTAGAGGCAGTGGAGTTTATTGAGCAGGTGACATGGTCACTTATAATAATAATGTAGTAATGATAATAATGATAGCACCTACCTCCCAGGGTTGTTAAGAGAATGAAACGGGATATTTGTAAAGTGCTTTGCAAACCTTAAATCTCTATATAAATGCCAGCTATTAGTAGTAGTAGTAATTTGTTGAAGTTCATTTTAATGTAATTAATTTCAAATGTAAGTAGAATCAATTTTGTTGTTTAAAGAAAAACACACAATTACTTTAAATGAATAAAATGGAACACTATCCAGTGATTCCTTCTTAAGGACCTTCTCCCTCTTTGCCTATGATACAGGAATTGGCTGAGCAGTAGCTTTCTAGATCATATATTTGCAGGATTTAGAGCTTGAAAAGATCTTTTTATGCATCTGACAACTTGTATTATAGATTCAGCAATGATGATCTCATGCAAGCTTATTCATCTGCTAATTAGATTTGGATTCCAGAATGACACATTTTATTAACCTCTGGTCATTGCAGTGCTAAGTAGAGTGGGCTGCTCATTCCAGACAACAGTAGAAATTATGTGTCTGGATCAAAACTGTTTTTTGTGGTTCTTTCACTATGACCAATAGAGGCAAGAGCTTCCAGCTTGCTGGACTTCTAAATGGATGTCTATACCACGTGGTGGTGGGTTGAAACTGCTGAAAAATATTATGTGTAAAGATGTAGCAAAACTAATAATAATAGTACATATTTGCATAGTCAGACAGTCAACAAGCATTTATTAAGCACTATTATGAGCCAGGTATTGTGCTAAGCCCTGGGTATACAAAGAAGCACAAATGCTTGTTCCTGCTCTCAAGGCACTAACGGTCAAATGAGGGAGATATTACTGGTTTATAAAGTGCCTGCTGCACAACAATCCCATGCAGTAAGCAGTCCAAGTATTTTTACTAGTGAGGAAACAGATTTAGAGAGGTCAGAAAATCTGTGTAGTCACATGCAAGAGCCATAACTCAAACCCATATCTTTATTCCCAGTCCAAGACACTTTTTTTTTTAGGCAATTGGGGTTAAGTGACTTGCCCAGGGTCACACAGCTAGTAAGTGTCAAGTGTTTGGTCTGAGGCCGAATTTGAACTCAGGTTCTCCTGACTTCAGGGCTGGTGTTCTATCCACTGCACCACCTAGCCGCCCCAGTCCAAGACACTTTCGAGCACACCATGATGCCTTATGTCAGGTTACCCCTGACACACATGTTTTAGAATCTGGTTCAAAGTTGTTTTCCTAACCCAGAACCCAAATTAAAGGAAATTCCACATCTGGTTCCTTCATCAAGTTCTATAATTATCTAGAAAGGAAATCCTACCACCTGAAGTCAGTCATCTAAGCTACTGGTCAATGAATCTGCCACATCAACCCTATGCTTGCATACAAAATGAACACGCTTGATATCAGACGATGGATTTCTCCTAGGAATGGGTAGCAGGAAAGTTAACATGTTTCTGCAGTTTGTGATAAAAACTAAGTGTAGGTAGACTCACCTGTGCAGTCATTTCTATGTCAAAAGTTTCTAATGGATTGAAGGTTTTCTGATCACATGGCAGCATACTGTCCCACTGAGATCCTGCAAGGCAAAGTATATATTTTTAAATAATAAAGTTCTCTGCTTTGGACTAATAATAATCTCATTGTGGAGGAAAATAAAGAAAAACAAAAGAAGCACAAAACACTTGACTTAAAATCAGAAAACCCCAGGCCAAATACTGCTTCTGCCCCACATATACACCTCTGTGCCTCAGTTTCTCCATCTATTAAAAATAAATAATACTTATATTAACTATCTTGTAGAGCTGTTGTAAGGAAAGTCTTTGTAAACTATAAAATAGTATTATAAAAGAATTATTATTCTACAGGTTATAGTTGAATTATTACTTTTATATAGTTAATTGATTAACCACAGGAGGATTACTCTAATAACTTCCTACAAATCTCGTTTTCAAGTTCAGTGTCAATTAGTTCCTATTCTACTTTAAACACTTACTTCTAGCTGGTTTCTTGCTCCCTCTATGGTGAAGAAAAGCCCTTTTAAACCCAAACTACTTAATCATTAGCTATCAAGTAAGGTTTGAGAAAGGGCACAGACCTGGATCAGTATAAAAGAAAGATTTCCAGTATTGAGTGGATATTGAGGGTCAAGAGGTTGGGATGGGGAAACTGGAATGCTTTACAATTCCAGTCTTCACAGTATGGCTTTATTATTTAGTTTGAAATGAATTCCAGGAACACTGAAATACACATTTGAATTTAAGTATAAAAACACAATCCAAAATCAAGTAGCAAAGGCTTTTGGATTACCTTGCTGCCTTGGATTATTCATACCCTGCAATAGAATGAATACTCAAAGGATGACTTACTTTGTTTTGTTTTTTAACTTACTCCTTGCTTCTCCCTGGGAGCTCACATACCCTGCCCTTTTCGCTTCTCCCTCCATGTACTTTGGTAGATTTGAAAAAACAAATACACTACTTTGGGAGTGGATGAATTTCCCCATCACTGGAAATATCTGAACAGTGGGGGGAAGAACATTTGTCAGAGACATTGATGGAGATTTCTACATCGTTACAAGGCTGAATGAAATTAAATTCTACATCTGAAATTAAATGAAACATTAGCATTCTTTCTTTCTTAGGTAGTTAGGTTACATTCAAGTTCACAAAATATTGTTGCTTCCATTCTCCAAGTAGAGAATATGAACTGATCTCATGAACTATTTCAGAAGATAATATAAGGGGCAGCTAGGTGGCGCAGTGGATAGAGCACTGGCCCTGGATTCAGGAGGACCTGAGTTCAAATCCAGCCTCAGACACAAAACACCCACTAGCTGTGTGACCCTGAGCAAGTCACTCAACCTCATTGCCTAGTAATAAATAAATAAATAAATAAATAAATAAATAAATAAATAAATAAATAAATAAATAAAT